GGGGTGGTTGGGGACAGGCACCAGAGCAGCTCCCGGCCAGGTGCAGGCGTGCAGGCAGTCAGGCAGGCAGCCAGTTAGGCAGCCAGATAGGCAGGCAGGCAGGCAGCCAGGCAGGCAGGCATGCAGTGATTCAGGCAGGCAGTTAGACAGGCAGGCAGTCAGCCAGGCAGCCAGGCAGCCAGGCAGTCAGTGAGTCAGGCAGTCAGGCAATCAGGCTTTCAAGCAGGCAGCAGTAGTGATGTGGTGTTGCGCTTTGCTCATGGGCAGCGGCGTATATTTGAGTGTGCAGGTGGTGTAACTGCACCGGGGGGGAGCGATGGGCCGAAAGGGCCTGGAAAGGAATGGAGGGGTGAAGGTGGCCGGGCGGGGGGTGACGATTACAATGGGACATATATGTATGTACATATTTTGAACCTCTTTTACACCGTATGTAGCCAACCGTGCTAATCGGGGATGCAGAAGAAACACAACAAACGAAACACACACAAAAAAAAATCAGTTCTAAAGAAATGAGCTCATCGATCGAGATCATCTCAAAGTGCAATAGCTCCGACGGCTTCTTCTTAATATCGGAAGGAAGAGCGTTCCAGACGGCCGCAGAAGCAGCACGTCTGAAAGCGCCGCGCGATGCAGATGACCGCCGTCTTTGTCCGACGGTTTAGCCAACAGCCGCTGCTGCTGCCACGGGGATGGCCCGATTCTGCGGCCATCCTCATCCATTCCACCACTGCCGCTCACTGGCTCGTGGACCGTGAAATCGCGCACATCTCGAAGTCACGAGAGAGAAACATTTCGCGATGCCGGTCCGGAGTTCGTTCCATCGCCCGCCGATGCTGCTTTCGCAGCGAGTTGGGTGGCACGCGCTCAATCAACCCGTCTTTGTTTTACGTGGCAATATCACCCTCCGGCGTGCACGTTCGGCCACGCGCGGCACGAAAGGAGTTCGACAAACGTGGGCATCAGCGCACAGTTGCAGCAGAACGGGAACTGTGCGGGGGAGGGGGGGGGTGTGTTATAGGGCAGCAACAGGAATGAGAAAAAATAAACCTCTTCACGACCTCGGCGGAGGACAACCGACTGAGCGAAACAAGTTGAGGCCGCGAGCAATGCAAAGTGCAACCGGTGTGCAACCAGTAAGTGGCGAATTAAATCAATGATAAGTTTTTAAAAAAGCATGGCGCGTTTCCCCCGCCGCCACCCGCCACCTGCCCTTCTCCCATGTGTAGTGACTGACTCGGAGACACTAAGAGTCGGAGGCACTCTGTTTATTAACACGGCCTAACAGTCAACACTTTCTGTAACTCGTCTTAAAATGAACTACGGCTCCCAGTCAGGACAGCTGTTGGACTGCCTGACTGGCGACGCCGAGACGGCGAAGACTCCAGCAGCAGTGCGACGGGGATCCCACTCCACACGACAGCCCCGAGGTCCCCTACAGGGACCCCTCCTATATACTGTCAGGGTGGCCTGGCTCCGCCCCCAGTCACTCCCCCTTTCTGGAACCTACCTGCGGGTTTCTCGTGTGGCCCTTCCGTGACCATTCCCCGACATCCTTCTCTGGTGTATCACGTGGCCTGCTGTCGGTCAGGGCTGCTGTAAGCTGCATATCCCCTTCCCTGCCAGCAGCCAGCGCTATGCTGCTATGTGACCAATTCTATGTCACTACACTTGTTAGATTGTATGGGACGGCAGGTCTTGCACAGGCCACGGAATTGAGCGGTGGCAAGGCGCGCGGCGTTCTACATCTCGCTCGGGGCTGTGTTTCGCGTCCAGTGCCACGTGATCCCGGACGAGAGGGTCAACCAATGCACTTCTGTGGGAAATTCTGATGGGGTCCTTTTTTTTTCTCTCCATGATGCACAACGAGGACTGCACGCGATTTCCACGCGCGGGTGGTGTGTGTGTGTGTGGTGTGCGCGTTGAGTTTCGATGATTAACAACAACAACAGAGGAAACCCATCGTGCAGCCCCATCCAAACCTTTCCGTGTGTAGCGACGCACGCGCACAGCATCACCGCCGCCCCTCGTTGAGATGGCCACATTTACTAAAGTCTTCGAGTCCATATGGTGGTGCTTCTGATATTTGACAACTCCCAAACACGTGCAGTTCTTGTGAGCCGGTGGGCCTGGAAAAGGCCGAAAGAGCTCTTGCCCACCTGCATGAGTGTGTGTAGCAGGTGCGATCCACTAGGGAGACAAAGGCGGCCGGGGGTGGTGCTGGTCACCCACCCCCTCATGTGCCGTGGCGGTCTTCAAAAGGTGCTACTGGCTAACAGCACTTGTCCCAACAATCTGCTCAAGCTATACGGGTGATTTTTGTCTGTGTGTTGTTTAAATCCAGTGTGTGTGCTATCGACGCAGTCTATGAATGGCACAAACGGCGGAGTGAATGCGCCTCCGTTAGGTTTGAGCCCTGTGGAGTCGGGCACTCGGTCACGTATGTCTGTATGTTGAACGTAGCCCCAAACATGCTAAATCGGTGAGCGGCCCCATCCGCTCTCCGCCCAGAATGAATCAGAAATGTCTCCAGTTTCATCGTTGCCCCAAATAGTGTCCGTGCACCTTGGAGAGATATCAGATACATTTCCAAAAACCGACCCCGCCAAATGTCTCCGCAAATAACCCGTGAGCTCAGCAGGGTTTGGTCGGTGATGCTGCCGAGATGACACTCACCCACTGCCCCCCCCCCCACTGCCCCCCCCAATGGCCCCCCATGCCACCCCTCCGCACGCCCCCTAGAATTCTCGACATCATTCCCGGTGCTGTTATTAGTGCTTGCTGCAAGTGAACCACAATACCTTTGCTGACCTTGTCGACGAGCATAAACCATCACGGAAACTGCGGTCATCCCCGCTAGCAGCGGCTTCCGGCTGGCCGTCGAACAAAGTCGGTGGTCACCGCATCGCACGGTGCTTTCAGATGCGCTTCTGCGGCCGTCTGGAACGCTCTTCCTTCCGATATTCGGAAGCCACTGGAGCAATGCCACTTTTAAATCATCATCATCATCATCATCTCGATTGACAAACTCATTTCTCTAGAGCTGCTGTTTGCGTTCAGTTTGTTGTCCTTCACCTCCCCCCAACCCCCCGCGGCACCTCCGGTGAGCACGGTTGGCTACGTACGGTGCGAAAGAAGTTCAACAAGACATCAGTCGAAATGTCATCTTGCCCGAGTCGAGTCACGCCGCGGAGGAATGGACGATGTTCATGAGTTAACGTCGATTTGCGTGTTTTGTTAAAATAGTTTTGGATTTCTCACGCGACGGTCGCCATTCGTTTTTTTTTGTGTCCTCTGATTTTCTGTTTGGCTCATTTGCTGCCCGCTTTGAGCTTTTGCCCCCCGTGTCGTCGTGTTTGTCGCTCTTGCGAATGAGATATCATCCCCTCGCCCTGGTCTCTTTTGAGTTTCTCACTCGGTTCCACGAAATTTTACTTGAAACTTAATGTTAACAATAAAAAACGCTATTTATTATATAGGGTGCTCAAAAAAAATGTTAACGCTTCTGAGAATTTGCAACAACACCACGAGAAATGTGTTGCTTCTGGGCTCTGGAGACCACGTGGAGAAGATTCCGGGCACGTGTTGACAACGATGGCGAACGAGTGGAAACTTTTTGACTTTTTGAAGCTATTAACATGCATTTGTTATGATGTTAAGTGTATTATCCGTTATTTTTGCAATTAAAAACGATAGTCCCATATAAGTGTTATCATCTGTTTGAAGCACCCTGTGTATTTATATTTAATCTAGGGACGTGTCTAAATTGACTGTGTGCTCGTAAATACTTGTCGGTAAGGGCTGGGCCGTTCTTACAAATTACAGATCACAATCGCAGAGGAATCACAAAATTTAAACCATTAAAATTTTACCTATGAAAATAAACTATGTTTTGTTATGTACCAGGTAAATCCCATTGAGCTTAAATAGCAGCTATTTTTCAGGAGCGACCTGGCCACAAAAATAGCCCAACGAAGTGGCTTATCATTATCACGTGGATATTTATGGCAGCCAAAGACTCTAAACGCGTGGTGACGTTGATTCTAAATGCGGAGGGGAAAAGCCGGTGGACCCGGAGAAAAATCCACGCGACCACGGGGAGATAGAGAGACACGCAGACTGCAAATATACAGCAGGAGTCCTGGTCGGGGCTCGAACCCACGATCTCCTGCATACCAGGCGAGGTAGTTAACATCTCACCACATATGAGCTGCAAGGCAGCAGCAGCAGCTAGACGCCGGGGAGCCGACGTTCATACAATTTCCGGAGCTCTGTGGACCTCTACGTATGAAGGTCTTTCAACACCAAGTTAATAATGAGTGTGTATAGGTGTGCGTGTGTGAGCGTCGATCTGTATGTAATCCCACCGGTATCTTTGGTAGGGATTACATATACATGACAGCGCTGTAGATACGTTGAGAGTTATTATTCTTTAAAACGGACGTGTGAGATTGCTGTTGGTTAGGCATTGAGGCCACAACAACAATAGAGCATCGTGCCTTGGGATATTTTTTTTGTAAATTATCAATGGGTATTGTTCACGAGATATGCCTTTAAAAGCAAGGTAGGTTTAAATTTCGATTTAAAGCTTTCGTGACTGCAGGGATTCATCTTCTTGGTTCTTTCGGTGGTGCTTCTACGTGACTTTACCGAAAGAACCAAGAAGACAAGGTAGGTTTGTGCCATTAGATGTCTTGCTGTTATCAATTGTTCATGATTTACGTTCTCAATCTTTGCTGTTGCTCTGCTCCTCCTTCTCCTTTGGCTCAATCCACGCTGTCGCTCTCTCCCTCTCTTCATCGGCCCCCTCTTCACTGGAACAAACATCTCCCTCCACACCCCCCCTCCCCTCCTTAATCTCCCCACTCATAACCATCACCACCGTTACTGTCCCCTCTTCATATTCTCATTACATGGCTTTCACTCATTAACCGCATTCACCCCCCTCTCTCATCCCCCCCCCCCCCTCGTCCCCCTCGCCCCCCTGGCCCCCATCGCTCCAGAATCTGCCGCTGCCATGTCGGACCGCTGCCAGCACTGCCAGACGCCGCTGGCTGGGCGTTCATACGTGATGAGGGAGAACCGCACCTACTGCTCCGAGTGCTTCGAGAAGCTCTTCTCGCACGCGTGCGCCGCCTGTGCCCAGTCCATTGGGCCCGGCCAGCGGGTACGGCGGCCACGACCCACCCTGCCCCGGGCAAAAGAGACTAGAGATCAGCCTGCCCCCTACGCCCCACGTTCAATCCACTCCCAGACACACCAATACCGCCCGGGCACACTGATACACTGATAAAGATCGCCCGGCACTTTCACACCTCCACACAACCCTCACCATGGCACCCATCCCAACGCACGGGGCAAACTGATACGCTGACAAAGATAGCCCCACACTTTCACAACTCCACACAAGCCTCACCATGGCACCCATCCTAACGCCAAGGGGCACACTGACACGCTGACACAGATCGTCCCGCACTTTCACACCTCCACACAACCCTCACCATGCCACCCATCCCAATACCAAGGGGCACACTGATACACTGACAAAGATCGCCCCACACTTTCACACCTCCACACAACCCTCACCATGGCACCCATCCCAACACCAAGGGCACACTGATACACTGACAAAGATCGCCCGGCACTTTCACAACTCCACACAAGCCTCACCATGGCACCCATCCTAACGCCAAGGGGCACACTGACACGCTGACACAGATCGTCCCGCACTTTCACACCTCCACACAACCCTCACCATGCCACCCATCCCAATACCAAGGGGCACACTGATACACTGACAAAGATCGCCCCACACTTTCACACCTCCACACAACCCTCACCATGGCACCCATCCCAACACCAAGGGCACACTGATACACTGACAAAGATCGCCCCGCACTTTCACACCTCCACACAACGCTCACCATGCCACCCATCCCAACACCAAGGGGCACACTGACACGTTGACACAGATCGTCCCGCACTTTCACACCTCCACACAACCCTCACCATGCCACCCATCCCAACGCCAAGGGGCACACTGACACGCTGACAAAGATAGCCCCGCACTTTCACAACTCCACACAACCCTCACCATGCCACCCATCCCAACACCAAGGGGCACACTGACACGCTGACAAAGATCGACCCCCACCCCCCAATACTCCATCCCGGGGACGCATCTGGACCCAACCTGTAGAATGATTGTAACGTTGCCATGAATGAGTTATGTAGATCGAACGATTTATTTTATTACTATTTTCATGTGACCAGGTAAGGCCCACTGAGCTATGCGACACTTTTACAGAAGCGACCTGGCCGTCATAAACTATCGCTCAACGAAGCGGCTTCATCACGTGGAGGGGAAATAAAATATTTAAAAATACTTTTTAAAAAACACACTTTAATGAAATGTACTGTCCGAGCTGCCCCTGGCCCCCTTCCCCCATCGCCCCTCCCCTCCTTCCACATCCCCCGCCCCTGGGCGTGGCTCCCCGAGGCTTGCCGTGACGTAAGGGACCACGTGGTGATTTACAGGCAACGTCAATTGAGCGTGGACAATTAGAGCCGTTAAAAAGATTGTAACAAAAAAAAATATTTTTAATGATAGAATATCGTGTTGTCATCAGTATGACATAGCTATACGAAGTTTGCAGTCGATAGCACATTGGGAAGTGGGTAAAAATTGAGTTACAAGATTTATTTTTTGAGGATACAACAGACGAAGTGAGTTAAATAAAAGCGTGTAATCATAAAACGGATGACAGGGAGACACAATTCACGTGACTACGGGAGGGGGGAGGATAGAGAGAGAGAAAGAGACACGCACAAACTCCACATTTACAAACAGGCTTCGCCCGTGGTCGGGATCGAACCCACACGAACCTCCTAGCGCGCCAGGCGAGGTAGTTAACATCTCATCTTAACCACCGCGACGGCACCCAACCACCCCCCGCCCTCTCTCAGGAGCTGATCGTGAGCGGCAAGCACTACCACGACAAGTGCCTCAAGTGCGGCCGCTGCGGCGTGCCCGTGGCCAACAAGCCGTATGACTCGAGTGGGGACGTGCCGCTCTGCAGCGCCTGCGCTGGCGCTTCGCCGGCCGCCGCGACCGGGGCGCTGGCCAATCAGTGCGTGGGCTGCAGGAAGGTCATCCACCCAGGTGAGTCGGGTGGGCTGGGTAGGTGGCTTGGGTTGGGTGGGTGGGTCGTGTGGGTCAGGTGGCGTAGTAACGACGTTGTTATGAGTTCAGCGAGGTGTGGCGATTGGTCAGTTGGTGAAGGGGGCCCAGGAAGGTCATCCACCCAGGTGAGTCGGGTGGGCTGGGTAGGTGGGTTGGGTTGGGTGGGTCGTGTGGGTCAGGTGGCGTAGTAACGACGTTGTTATGAGCCCAGCGGGTGTGGTGATTGGTCAGGTGGGGAGGGTGGGGGGGGGGTCTCCAGGAAGGTCATCCACCCAGGTGGTTGGGTGGGCTGGGTAGGTGGGTTGGGCTGGCTGGGTGGGTCGTGTGGGTCAGGTGGCGTAGTAATGATGTTGTTATGAGCTCAGCGGGTGTGGCGATTGGTCATTTGGTGAAGGGGGCCCAGGAAGGGCATCCACCCAGGTGGGTGGGGTGGGCTGGGTAGGTGGGTTGGGTTGGGTGGGTCGTGTGGGTCAGGTGGCGTCGTAACGACGTTGTTATGAGCTCAGCGGGCCAAGTGTGGAGGATCGAAGCGCACGACATGCCTTCCATTCGATTATGAATGTCACGAGGCTTTGCGTCCGTTTGCTGTTTGACCGCAGGCACCGCGAAGATTGTGTACGAGGGGAAGACCTTCCACGACCACTGTTTCAAGTGCTCCCGCTGCCACGAATCCATCGGCAAGAAGGGCTTCATCCCCGTGGGCGAGGCCGTCTACTGCGCCCCGTGCCACAAGAAGATTTAGGGCCGGCGGTTTGGAAGCCGCGGCCTCGATGCCGTGGTAAGAGCAAACCCTCTACAGATAGCCCGCTCGAGTCATGGTGGGGGCAGATGCGCCACGGTGGCTAGGAGATGTTAACTCCCTCGCCTGGTGTACAGGAGGTCGTCGTGGATTCGATCCAGACCCTGACGTTTGTGTCTCTCTCTCTCTTTCACCGTGATTGCGAGGATTTTCTTTCCTCCGGTGTCCTCTCTCGTTTTTTTCCCCCCACCACATGGAGAATCAACGTGCGCTCAGAGTATTTGGCTGTTGTGAATTCTGACGCGATAAGCCACTTCGTTGGGCGGTTACTTGCCATGGCCAGGTCGCTTCTGAAAAAGAGGTATATCGCTCGGTGGGCTTTACCTGGCCAAATAAAAAATCGTAAAATAAAAAATGGAACGCAGAATCGTATATTCTAGGCCTCTGTATGCACGTGTGACAAAATCGGCCCCAAATCAGCTCAAGCGGTGCCGGATTCACCAAATATCTCGAGGTCAAACATTTGTGTTACATAATATGTTGGGGTCAAATACATATATAAATATACAGAGCTCAAAAATCATCTGAAATTCAAAAATACATAACATAAGTGCGTGAGTGCGGGCGGAGTAGCGACGCTCACAACAACGAACGCTGGGTGGCTAAATCATAGCAAGTTGGCACAGTAGGGGGCACGGGTGGTGCATCAGCCAGTCATCTCGGTCATCTCGGTCAGTCGACCCGTGGCACCTGCTGGGTCTGCCCCGTGACTTCCTGCCAGCGGATATTCGACACTTCACATGGCCTCAAGGTGCACATGGCCTGGCACAAGCGTCGTGGTGACGTCACCACCACTTAGTGGCGAATGGCAGTTGTTGTTGTTGTGCGTGCGTGAGTGCGAAATTGAGTAAGTTGGTGGGTGGGTGCGCGTGCATGATTGAGTGAATGAGTGTTGCAGCAGCCTGCCGCGTATGGCAGTTGAACACACCCATGGATAAGTAAACACGGCCAGTCTGATATGACAACAATAACAACAATTTTTATTCTACAAGGTGCCACTCAAACAATGCATCTCAGAGAGCCAGCATAGAACCGGAGTCCCCGACACGGGTGGGCCGAGTGATCGCGTGAAGTCCACTGGACACAGTAGCAATGTCAGAGCGACGAGCAGGTGACTGACCGGGGGGGGGGGGGGGGGGGGGGGGGGGTTCAAGCGGAGTGACCACGGCGACTGCGTAGCGCCCCCCACCACGTGACGAGCTCATGACGCGACTCCACGGTGCGTGTCCGTGAACTGCAGGTGGCTTCTCCGTGCATGTCTCCTACACCCCTCCCCCATCTCCCCCCCCACACCGCCCCCCTCTCCCATGTGGCCTATGGGGGAGGGGTGTGTGAGGACCCCGTGGCTCCCATCGGCTTCTACCCAGCGGACCAGCGGGAGGAACGTGGCTGGTGGTGCGAGGCGCGGGGGTCCATGGTGCCGGCGTTCGCGGCCACGTGGCCAGCTTGCTGTTGAATCGCGCGCGGGTGGTCGGGACTGGGCCGTTCGTCGACGTCACCGTCGACGTCACCGTCGTCGTCGTTGTTGCCGTGGTGACCACGCGCCGTTACCACGGTGACGGCGCGCGCAACTGGATCCGTTATCGGTTTCTTATGGGGGACGGGACAGCGGTAATCGATTCTCGCCAAATTATCCGTGAAGTGAGAAAGAAAAATAAGATTTGAAAAAATCCCACCCGCAAAATGTCAACACGTTCGTCAATAACGCCACACGCGTGTGTGTGTGTGGGGCGCCTTGAAAGGGACAAATGTATACCGTACGGGGAGACGTTTCGGGCATTAACCCTTCTTCGTGGCAAGCGAATGGAGAGGTCGGGGAGAGACCGAACCTTACGCCGAAACTGCGTCCGTGTGAAGCCCTCCACCACCCGACACGGCCAAGCAAGTTGAATCGTCGCGCGGTGTCAAAGCGTTTGTTACGAGTGCTATTTGTTTCGGCTCGCTTACCGCGGGGAAAGTCGAACAATTAATTTGATCGGTCGGGTGGTGGTGGTGCGGGTTGTCGAGACGACACAGATATGGCCAGACCGTTACGTGGCCGAGCCCAAAAATCAACGACGAATCGTCGCAGCAGCTAAACACACGCAACACATTCGCCATTGACACTCTGACGCCTTCAAATGAAGAATGTGTGTGTGTGTCGTCCATGATGTATTTTTAAGGCTCCCTGCCCCTCCACGCAGAGCTGTTATTGACACGTAACGTGTCGAGGTGGTTGTTGTTGTTGTCAGTGCTTGTACACCACTACCAATGCAGCATCGTCAACAACAGCAACAACAACAACAACATGATCCGTGTAATAACAACAACTAGAATATGACCACCACACCGCTCGAGACAATGCAAGGTCGTCTTCTCACAGTGAACGATACGTCCCCCTTTGTGTTATTGTTGTTGTTTGTACAGCAGGGGTGGCCAACTGCGCCAGTGTAGAACGTAGAAGATACAACGCCGATGGGTTTGCTTAAAACCAAACATCCTCAACGGGTGGATTTTTTTGCATGTGCTTATGTACACTATCATATTGGATGTGCTCCGTCGTATTATAATTCATAACGATGATTGCCGGGATAGCCCCGTTTACTTGACAGCCAACAAGACAAAGACAAAGGTTCACCGTATAAACCCCTAACAGACTGTAGGGGCAAGTGCTGCTAGCGAGCACCTATGAAGGCCGGCACGGCACACGAGTGCGTGGGTACGCCAACACAACGCCCGGCCGCCTTTGTCTCCCCAGTGGCGATGTTTACTACACACCGCACCAGGTACTCATTTGAGGCCGAGTCGACCTAGGGGGAGGCTCAGAACCGGTGCAGATAATCGCCACTGCTGTTGGCCGCGAGCAGGAATCGAACTCGGGACGCCGGGTTCCTAGCGCAGCGTAGCGCTCACCGCTGCACCACCGCTCACGCAAGGAGCTGCTGTATCATTCAATGTGCGTTGAGTTCCCTGTTGAATAAACTGTTTAATTATCATGTGATGGTGGAGGCGAGTGTCCATTTGTCCGCCGTCGGCGATGCACGCGGGTCAGTCATCCGGCGTTGTGGAGGCAGCTGCGAGGGTTGGTGGACAACGCAAGGATGGGTTGTGAAGCTCCCTTGCCGTGGTTGGGAGAAGGCAGCAAAGTGGTGGACTCCACCTGTTCCGCCTGTACCCGAGGGAGTTGTCCACCCTCGCACGCCTGGGCTTTCTCCCACGCGTATAAACACCTTGATATGTAGAGGAGCGCAGAGCTTGGGTGATTGTTGGTCGCTGCTACCGTCTCATCTGGAGGTTCCTCCTCCTGGCGCCTCTGAGTCGTCCTCTCTCCGAGTCGTCCTCTCTCGCGCGTCACGTGGGGCCATGTTTAACAATCATCGGGCGCGTGTCACGTGGAACGAGTGAATTTGTACTCTTTGGTTCTTTCGGTAATGTCACGTGGGTATAAAATAAAATAAATCACGACGTTTCGGGCGCAACACAAACGTCCGTCATCAGGTGGGAAAGCACGGACGCTTGTGTTGCGCCCGAAACGTCGTGATTTATTTTGTTTTATACCTACGTGACTTTGCCGAAAAAACCAAAGAGTATGGATTCCTGCAGTCACAAAAGCTTCAAATCAAGAGTGAATTATTATTTTGGACGAAGAGGAGTAAATTGGTAAACGTGGAGAGACGGAGCGTGGTGGAGGTGGATTGAAGTTTGGGAACCCCAGGACTGGACTCCGGAGCAAACAAACGCACGACGTTTTGACCTTTTTTTCTTAAACACATTCCTGCGGAGGGAGCTGGTAGGAACGTTGGGTTGCTCGGTCAATGGCCAGGGTCAACGGCGGCGTGGTGTATTCCGCAAATATCCCCGACTGTGAGGGCGGGCACAAGCCGGCGTGAGTAGGTTAAACGTTGAGTTTTATAAGGGCACCACGGGGTGACCAGCCCCTCCCCACCCAGCCCCACCCCTCCCACCCGCCACCCAGCCCCTCCCCACCCTCCCCACCCAGCCCCTCCCGCCCCACCCAGCCCCTCCCTGCACGACGGACGGACACAATAATCCCCTGTGGGTTGGTGTAACCAGGAGGTTCCTACCAGTAACAGAGACATGTGTACGGACGTGTGACGATCAGCGCTTGAAGCGATGGGGAGGGGAAAGTCTCAACGAAACCAGTAGCGCAATCATTCATCCATTCATCAACAACAATTCCACTGGAATCGATCAGGGGTTCCTGGTTTATCAGACTCGGTAACCGGTTCCGATTAAACGGATACCGCTGAACAAACCCCGGTGCTTACCGCGTAATTAGTTGTACACGAGGAAGTGAGGATTGTTCCATGGAATTGCAGGATGATTGTTACGTTGCCTTGAAATACGGAACGTGTTTTAATATGTGGATGAAACTACAAAGATTTTTGGTACAAAAATAAAATCGTAGCACGTGTAGTTGCAATAGATGGTGCCGATTGAAGTGGATACCAATAGAGTCCATGTGTTTTTTTCGGGTTCCTTGCACTGCAAACCAGTGTACAGGTGTTAACACACGTCCCACCAACCCACGTGTTACTCATCGGGGCAAGATCTTACTTCCCTCGCCTGGTATGCAGGAGGTCGTGGGTTCGAACCCTCGAGTCTGACGCCCCCCCCCCCCCTCCTCTGTGCATTTGAAGTCCGCGTATTTTTTTTCCCGTGGATTTTTCTCCCAAGTCCCTTCTGGGCTTCTCCCCTTGCCACATTTAGCAATCGGCGACACGCCTTTATTGAGTACAGTTGGCTGCTAACAATTCCCGCATGACCATAAAAGCAACTTCGTTGAGCAATCATCTGTCATCATTTGTGACATCTCAGCAAGAGGCCGTCGCTGGTGCCCTTGGAACGGCCACCGTGGGACCGTCACGCGTGATCGCTGCTCAACCCTCATCGTTTTGCCCCCCCCCCTCCCACAATATCCCTTTGCGATCGAAGGTGATTTCATCGTCCAGAACCGCAGCAGAATCGGGAGACCACTCGAGATTTCTTGCGCCTTGGTGGGGGGGGGGGGGGGGTTCGGGTCTTCCGTGGCTGAGAAGTTTCAATCCGTGAGTGGCAGAGACCGGAACGCCGTTGTCACAGTTGTAGGTCGGCCTCCGGATGTTGTCGATGTAGTCGTGGCGGCGGTAGTGGTGGTGGTGTCCCGATGATGAGAGCCATAATCTGGGTCGTGTGTGCGTGCGTGTTTGTGTGCTGGAGGCTTTGTTGAACTTCGTGGGGAGCGGTTGGTCCAGCGGTCAGCGCGCCGCGCTATGAACCCTGCTGGACCCGAGTTCGACTCCCGCTCACGGCTGCCAAAATCGGTGGCGATTATCTGTACCGGTCCTGGGCCTTCCCTAGGCCGACTCGGCCTCAAATGAGTACCCCGGTGCGGTGTGCAGACATCGCCACTGGGAAGACAAAGGCGGCCGGGCGTGGTGCTGGCCACACACCCCCTTGTGTGCCGTGTCGGCCTTCATAGGTGCTCATTAACTGCACTTGCCCCACCAGTCTGTTAAGGCTATACGGGGGACCTTTCTCTTTGTCATCAATAATACTGTATAATCAGAGCTGTTTGTGGATTAACTTTTTTTTTACTAAAACCCGATGGACTCTTTAGTATGGAATCGCCCATTGCCGTGACAGCCGCACGCCACTGCCATGCACATTGAGAGCGCTATGGGAATGGTCGCCCACACTTGCGCGTTTTGCAATGAAGGTCGAAAGTGAAATGCGCGTCCGAGTTGAGTGTTCGTCCTTCGTTTTGGATGTTGACTGCATTCATTCACGTCACCCGCGCACGTCGCAAACGTCGCATCGCCGACTCGCCGATGCGACGGCGCAAAAAGGTCAAATAAAGAAGATCCGACACTTGATTTGAAGCTTTCGTGACTGCAGGAATTACCCTGGTTAAACCCAGGATGGATCGTAGGCAGGCCAGCCTAAATGTTTCTAACCGGCGAAGATGCTCCATTAGGGGGGTCCACGTTTCACAAGCGTAGAGAAGGGAGGGAATGACTGTGGCCGAGAAGACCTGAAGCTTCGTGCGGAGCGACAGACCAGGGTAGCTTCCACACAGCGTTACGCAACCGATGAAAAGATATTGCCGCTCGACTGATTCGGAGTGAGACCTCTGCTGTTAAACTGGAGCCGGTCATAAGCACACTGCCCAGGTATGGGAAACTCTCCACTCTCTCCACTACTGCCCCATCACCGATTGGAAGTTGTGGGGGTGGAGTGTCCGATGATACAAAATACCCAGGCAGGTGCTTCGTTTTGGTGGGACTGATAGTAAGGCCCCACCTCTTAGTGGCAAGCTCTAGGTTCAGCAGCAGCACATCGAACTCCTCCTCTGAGTGATTACCAGATCATCGGCATACATAACATGGTTGAGCAATAGGTAGCCATCCCTTGACCGCACCCGGGCATCGATCAGCCTCCCATTATATCTGTACCAGATAGAAATTCCTACGGTACAGCTATTGAAGGCCTCACGCACTACGTGGTCAAAATAGATGTTAAATAATGTGGGAGCCAAAGGACATCCATGTCGCACCCCAAGGTGTACAGCGAATAGCTCCGACTCCCGGCCACGTAGTTTTACCCGGGCCCGCTCACCGTCATGAAGGTCCTTAATGATCGTGAGCAGAGGGTCAGAGACTCCGAAAGCACGAAGAACAACCCAGAGCCCAGGCCTACTGATGGTATCATAGGCCTTGACCAGGTCAATAAAGCAAAGATGTAGGTCTTGTTGGAATTCCCTACACCTCTGCTGTAGCAGACGGACAGAAAATATGGCATCTGTGCAGGACCACCCTTTCCTGAAACCACAAAGACCCCCCGTATAGCCTTAACAGACTGTAGGGGCAAGTGCTGTTAGCGAGCACCTATGAAGGCCGGAACGGTACACAAGGGGGTGGGTGGCCAGCACCACGCCCGACCGCCTTTGTCTCCCCAGTGGCGATGTTTACACAGCACACCAGGTACTCATTTCAGGCTGAGTCGACCTAGGGGAGGCCCAGGACCGGTTCACATAATCGTCACTGGTGTTGGCCGTGAGCGGGAATCGAACCCGGGTCGCTAGGTTCATAGCGCAGCGCGCTAACCACACATACACACACACGCGCGCGTACTGGGTGTGTGCGGTTAATTGTTCAAGAGTGTATACGTTGCATTCGCATATGTGAACCTCTACTGCTATACATAGACATTTTTTTTGTTAATAGAAAATATCAATCTCATCACATTCATATAACAACAACAATGACGACGACGACGAGACCCAGGGCCGGATCGCGAACGTGGCACGACCCTCCCGAAAAGGGGGGGGGAGGGGGTCTCGAGACTCCGTGACGAGGCCTCTTTCCTCGGCCGTTGATGCCTTGGAACGAAATTCGCCGTTGATGCCTTGGAACGAAATTCGCCGTTGGTGCCTTGGAACGAAATTCACCGTTGATGCCTTGGAACGAAATTCGCCGTTGGTGCCTTGGAACGAAATTCGTCGTTGGTGCCTCGGAACGAAATTCGCCGTTGGTGCCTTGGAACGAAATTCGTCGTTGGTGCCTCGGAACGAAATTCGCCGTTGGTGCCTTGGAACGAAATTCGCCGTTGGTGCCTTGGAACGAAATTCGTCGTTGATGCCTTGGAACGAAATTCGCCGTTGGTGCCTCGGAACGAAATTCGCCGTTGGTGCCTCGGAACGAAATTCGCCGTTGGTGCCTTGGAACGAAATTCGCCGTTGGTGCCTTGGAACGAAAGTCGCTGTTGGTGCCTTGGAACGAAAGTCGCCGTTGGTGCCTGGGAACGAAAGTCGCCGTTGGTGCCTTGGAACGAAAGTCGCCGTTGGTGCCTCGGAACGGCGACCGTGGAACCGTCACGCGTGACCGCTGCTGTTGTCGGCTCAACCCTCGCGATTTGCGAACGAAGGTGATTTTATCGTCTGGCACCTTGCGCCTTAGGGGGGGGGGGGGGGTTAGGGTGGCTGAGAAGTTTTCAA